ATTCTATTTATTTCGTTCTGGTGATGAGAATGCCATATAAAAGTGTATATATTCGTTTTCACCGGTAAGAATATAATATGAAAACGTGTAAAATCGAGGCCATATCAATTTTACATTACTACGCAGGCCGCTAAAATAGTTAGTTATACGGAAATTATTTTTGTCGTATAATTTCATATTCGACCACATGTTTCCACGGGTATCGAATTTTTCACACCATATACGGCTAGAAATTTAAAATGTAATCAAAAAATATATTATTATTATATCAATGAGCTAGGTAATTACGCCTTTCAGGATCCTAACGTCAATATTCGTAGGGGTGGCAATAAACGCAGTTAAAATTGAGTAGGTACTCTATAATCGTATTGTTACTATCAACGTATAAACGATAATAATATGATTAATAATATGAAAATAAAACAGAAAATTACTTAATTGTATTCATATTGTATGTATATGAATTTGCATTACGCTTAATGAGTCGTATAATAAATGTTTTTCATTATTTATTATTAATTATTATTATAACTTAAAAGATGTACACGAGTGTATTGTAAATAAAAAGGATTTATTAACATTGAATGAAATACGTATCATATTTGTATTATATTGCATGGAGACGAAAAAAGACCAAAATCTGTTTTCTATATTCATCGGCAATTCGCAATACAATAGTGTTCGATTGAAAAACAATTATAATATAGTTTTTTATGTATTATTTGTTTTACGTTTTACTGATTGCGTGCTATAGCTGATATATTTTTGTACTGTACTAAGAACGATGTAAATGTTATCTGTTGGCAGGGATGGATCTAGAGGGGAGAAATCACTCCCTTCGTTCTCCGAAAAAGTAAAAAAAAAAAACCTCTTAGAATTCATGGTGTTTTAGATGTTTTAGGCAACCAGCCACGTTTTAATATATTTTTTAAGCTAGGTAACGTGCCCTTTGAGTTTTAAAAAAATGTTCCCTGCCCCATTGTATTGGCCTGGAATTGATCTTGTTTGCGGGAACGCATGTACATATATAGTAATGTACACAAATTTACGGTGTAATAACTTCATCCAAGCGCGCAGTGTTGTAAGCTTAGCGGACCGCGTATATTGCTATACAGTTGGGTATTAATGAAATGTAAGTCGATCACGTTCGGATATTGTATTTATAAACATATTTATAGTATTTACAATTTAACCATCGTGCTCTGTAGTTGAACCTCAGACGAGATATTTAATTTTCTACTGCGACACTTCCGATTTCAATGTAACATGTACTATTTAATTGCATAATATTATACAAATTTAAAATAATGTTTGTTAATTAATTATTTCACAATGTCTGAAAACATTATGCGCATCTTCGCATGAATAATATTAATCAACATAAAAATATATTTTTGTCCGTTTATTCAATTTAATTTAACTATTAATATTACTATTATTATTATTATTATTATGAATGTTTATTACAAATGAATACGCGTCGAACAAAAATCATCGCATATAAGGAAATAAAACGTAGTGTTGATGATATTGTAGGTGATGACGGTGGCTCATAATGGGAATAGATTAAGTATAATATTACCGAGAAAACAATTATTTATTCATAAAAAAAACATAATTGAAACATCTTTCTAACACTTTTATACTAAAGGTGCATCTTATTATATTACACATTTCTTTTTTACCAAGATAATATCTGTTAAAATATATTTTAATTCTTATTATAACATGTTGCATCACACAGCGTTTATAAAGCGTATTGTGGGTTGAGTACACATAATTTATTAGAAATTATAATATGTTTATGATCAGCTTTGTTGAATATTTAAAGTTAAGTTTACATAAAAAAAAGTTCAATACTTTGACAGAATTGGTTAGTTCTTTGATCATAAATTTTATACAAAACGGTTTGAGATTTTATCTGTTCTATACAAGCCCTTGTAAAATGATTTACCAAAAATTCGTTGAAGCTGAAAAATAATTGAAAGAATATGTTGTTTAAAAGTAAAATTAGATATTTGAACTAATTATATTTAACTATTTTAATCATATATATAAAATTAAAATTTTAGATTTGGATAGTGAAACAAGTATTAGTTTTTCGGAGTTTAATATTTCACCTAATTTATCAACTCATTATATTTTTAGTATTAAAATTTGAATATTTGTACTATTTGTACTTCCATTTATTATAAAACATAAATACATTTTTATAAGTGTTGTTACGATAGTATGTTTTAAATTTTTTATGTACACAAACAAATAAATAACAAGCTCTTAAAAAATTATACAGTATAATATCATACAGTAATAAGAATTGTGTTATAAATTATCCTTGTTTCGAATAAAAATAAGTGTCAAGATAACTCTACCAATATAAAGTTTGATTATTATTGTTTTATATATATTTTTAATTAATATACTATTAAATTAGTCACCCTCAGCTTTGGGGAATTATTTCACACTTGATATTTTATATTTTATATCTTATCTCAAACTGCTCAATTTCCATATAATTACATATACAAATTAAATTATAATATACTATACAATAAACAGTATTGTAATATGTGATGAATCAATCAATAAAATTAAATTTACACATCAGCGGGCTCTTGCAAAAGACGTTGGTCAAATCTCAGGAACACATTTTCAAGAGAGTTGCGAAGAGAACGAGAGCATCAACGCACAGGAATAAAGATTCACAGAGAATGGTACTTTACAAGAAACATGGAATTTTTACGGTGCTTTATGCGACAGAGGTAATACTTCTGGTGATATTAATTTCTATAATTATATATGTATTTTTATTAATCTAAATTTAATATTATTATATGAAAAAAAAAATTGTTGCAAATATTATTATAATGATTATTTTGTAATGTTTATGAATCAGTTTTAATAATTTCTACCGGTATCATTAATAAGACTATATTATTATAATATCGGGAAACGTTGAAATTTTCTTGAGTCTTAAATGATTTACTCGGTACACAATTTATGGCAATATGATTGACGCCCAAACCAAGAAATTGTTTTTAATGAATCGTTGCAAACACTGTGCATTAAAACATTATCCGAAAAGAATGTTATCATGTCGACTGATAAATTGTTTGAAAATGTACGGCTCATTAATAGCGAACATTAAAAATTACGTTTATCGGCACACTGTCAATTGCATACCTAGGAGTTTTAAACATTTTTCGTCGTTCTTCAATACGATGCTTAAATCACACCGATAATTCGGATAATTTTGTGCACAGATCACGCATAAGCAATGCATTCCAGAGGTAATCGAAACCAGAAAATCGCCGGATTAAATGTACGTGTAGTGATATGATTTCATGGTTACCAAACTTCGTTTAGAAGCTATACGAGAATTAATTTCGTTTGTTGCATCCACCGTACGGATGTATTCATTAACAATATCATTAGACACGTCCGTCGATCGTGTCGCGACCAACTTGTTACGTGCGTAAACATGTCGTGTCGCGACTAACGACACATCAGAACGGTCGACCACGTGTTGGCTGATCGTTGCGCGATCTACGACTCAACCATCTGCGTCCCGTGGCCGGGCCGTCCGATCACGACACCGAGCACCCCTGTTCGAGCGTGACCGAGCGAGGACCATTCGACAATCGTTGCGTCAGTGTGACGTGGCCGCGAGGTGACAACGGTGTAAGACGTCACGATGTCATTGAAAATCGAAATTCGGTAGTCCGTACCAGAGCCGTAATAAGGGGGTGACGAGGGGCGCGATTCCTGGAAGAGCACAAAATTGAAAATCTTACGTTCAATGTTAAAAATTACGACGGTCAATATCGTATACTTTGTTTACAAAATCTTTAACATTCTTCGTGTTATAATTAAAGCAATTATTGAAAATAACATCTAATAAGCGTAATATTTTTAAATTAAAAATACGTAAGGGCGCATTTTGAAGTTTCGTCCCGGGCGCAATGTTTGGTTGCTATGGCACTGGTCCGCCGCAACTCCGCCGTGTGGCCGCGATTATACGACAAGTGATAGCGGCCACTCGGGACGCGTAAACCCGTAGCACATGCGTCCACAAGGATCGGTCGTGCCGGCGAACCTATTCTCCTTCCCATCCGGTACGCATGCACGGCTCGTGAATACGTGCGAACTCTTTTGCAAAATAACAATTTCGCCAATCAGATCGAGTACCGTCTCGTTCCGTTCGCATATGTTGCACGCATGTTATTGTTTATCGCTTTTGTATGTGTTACGGGGTAGGCGTGTTCGTTTTATATAGATTTGCTTTTGTAATAATTGTGTAGTATTTTTTACGCTAAGTTTATTCGGAACAAAAAAAAAAATTAAATTATAATGTTTACCTTGTATGATTAGTCGTCTACCCAGCTGCTTTTTGCTTAACATTTTTATTTTTACTAAGCATTTATGATTATTGCGACGGGTCAGTGATTTTGCGTACGCAAGAGATTAATTTCATATTATGGTTTTGCGTTATCCCTTTTATGATTTGTTTCGGATTAGAAGGGTATAATCGTTGGAGTGTTGGACTGTAAACGATCTGTAAGCATGAGTAATATGATTCAGGAATAATGGTAGAGGTAAACCACCCTTAGCATTACCTTTCATACTTTTCAAATTATCTCGGGCCGAGTACTATATACGTAAACTTACAATGTGTATCGTCTACATTTCAATATGTTAGAAGTTCGAAAAAAAATCGTATTAGTGTTTTATAAATCGCCGTGGTCAAAACACTTTAAACGATTACCAAATCGTTTTAGTCGAAGACTACACAAAATAAAAAAATGTCAAAAATTTGTTATAATTAATTAAGAATCGAACCGTGTATTCCGGAATTGTATTTATATTATATATTTATTATACAATAATCGTAGTAAAATACTAACACCGCTATTATACAAGTGTAAACCAAGGGTGAAAAAGAAGACGCGTCTCTTATTCTAACTCAGCCACGTCGCTGTTGTCCGTTTAAACCTTACCTATGGACTCTTCAGGCCAAGTTTATATATTCGACACGTCTTCTATATTATGCGGCGCCCGAGCGAGCCATCTCGGACGCACAGGTAACTAAGAATTTTTTTTAGCATTTAAGTCGTGTTGTTTATTTCCCGTAGATACACTTGTTGCGATTCCAACGTGAACGGAAATCGCCTTGGTAAATGTTTCACGTCGTGATTAAACTATTCTGCTAAAATAGTGCACAGACCAGTTGCTTTACTGGTGGCATGTGGTCCGGACGAACATCGTTGGCTTACCTGAAACTCTATACGAACCCCAGTGGGTCATTGTTATTAATCAACACTGCAATGTAAACTGGGCCTACCAGGTGGACGCGGTTAATCATAAACGCTTTATAATAAAGTTTTATGTTTGCGTGTAAGTCGATGTTCGATCCGTGTTCGACGATTTCGATCGGCATTTAAAACGCATTGTTTGCTTTCCATAGCGACATTTATTGCGATTTCGACGGACGCGGAGATCGACAGTTTCCGTCACCGAACTGTCCGCATAAAATCCGAATTGCGATAGGTTCATAAATTTCTTTTAACTCCCACACGGTTGCACCGCCATCGCTAGATGATACGGCCCGTTGTACCATGTCACACCGCCGAACACGACCGGGTCATGTCAGTGAATTACCGGTAAGCTCCGTGCGTGAACGTGAACGTGTCGTGAAGTTGACGAATTATTCGCTACTCCAAGACTTGCCGAACACCGTCGGCGCGCACGTTAACGTTAGTTCATCTGGGATGGCCTAATTTCGGGCTGGTACCGAATTGGTTCCCGAGATCCAACCTCACGTGCCGAAATGGTTCCCGTCTGAAAAAGTTATTTTATTAGGTTAAATGAATTAGTTCCGTTTAATTACGCACATTTCCCTTCTAAATTTTACAGGCTTAGGTCTGTCAAATTTATAATTGGTTTAGTTAACAATGTGTGTAAAAAAAAATGATAAAATGTTTACAATTTTAAATCGTTGATTTGGAAGTCAATTAGTCATCACATAGATGTATGCATAGGTGTCATTACGGGGTAGCGAGGGATAGTCATTGCTACCCAACTATTTTTATTGGGGTAGCAAATTAATAGCTATGACACCCCTTGAGAAATTTATGTAATATTTTATTGTTTTTTCAGAAATAAATCAAATATAATCTTAATCTATCCATACATATAAAATCAAAATACCACTTGGTCAATGATCGTTGATTGTTGTATTTTTATCAACTTTTGTGAATAATTCACTAGGCCTTATCCTTCTAAGGACACGTTTTCTAGAGGTCAGTTGTGTAAATTATGTTCAATATTTCATAATATGTTATTGTGTATTATGTATTTAACGTTCAAAGTGTTAAATGTTGACTAGTTTTATTTTTTTTAGAATTTACACAGTTAATGTAGGAAGGGGTGGGAGTGGGCTAAAGTTCATTTGCCCTCCTTCCTCTGGGTTGCCAATGTTGCTACCCTATGGTTTTATTCCAAATTATGTCCCTGGGTGTAAGAAATAACATACTTGAAATACAAATAATAAAATATAATAAATACAATTTAAAACCACTGATTTGAAAATTTGAAGCTAACTTTCTTTAAATATTCAATTCTCGTAATCTCCTCATTACCGTACTTAGTCATAAAATTGTCTAAGTATTTGTTATTTCTTTCCTGTTTGCTAGTAATTTGCTTGTCTCTAGTAATTTATGGTTTATTATATTTCTATAATCTATCTTATCGATATAATAATTATGTTTATATGTCATTCATATAGTTTTAAAATTTTGTTTTTTGTTCTCTATGCACTGGCCTGCTGGATTTTAATTTTTAATAGTGTAAGTAAATTGGGTTAAAAATTAAAATTGTCACTATTTTACCTGTACACAAACGGGAACCAATTCGGTTGCTCCCTAATTTCGTCCCGGTGGTCTGATCTTCCGCGACTAGTGCGACGGTTTGCTTGAAAGCGTCCGGGTTCCGTTCACGTTCCGCCAGTGACCGCGGCCGCTGTCACGCAGCAGTTCTCCATCATCCCGGCGACCGCACGGTACCGATAGGTGATGGTGGCCACTATGCTAATCCGTTTCTACGTACGTTTACGTCAAACACGTCAAACTTAAAGTATCAATTGTGTCAAATATATTGAATAGTTTACTACGCGGGCCCGTACATAAAAATTGAACGAATAAAAATGTTTATATTATGTATGTACATTATATATGTATACATATAAAACCATCAATAAAACTTACTCAGTACTACAGTTTTTCAGAATATAAGACATAATAACGTATACCAAATGTAAAAGTGTCTAAGGGTTTATGATAGTTGCGACGTGACATTAACATTTTATACAATTTTTTTACTTTTCATTTTTTATTTTGTCAATTGATATTGGTAGCCACGTGTTTGACATGCCTGGTTTACGTGGTGCATACGAAGTTACGGCGCGATTAAATACATTATTTCTTATCCCGTTCACGGCATCGGCCCTCAGTATACGCTCCGCTCATCACTTAACTATATCGCAACAATAATACGTAGTTCAATCGATTTAACGTAATTTGAAAAAAATTTAGTGACACAGTAGTCAGTTTGTACGCTTATTGCTAACCCTAGTACTAAGTAATATTAAGTAAATCAACATTTCAAGGGTGCGTAGTGGCTGAGCGGGACAACGTGTTTTTCAATTTAATGTGGTCCGGTACGGTTCCCTTGTCTAAAACAAAAAAAATCAGCCCAGTCCGGTCCGTCCGCCTTCTTCAGTTCAACAAAATAATAATGGTCATAATTTTGAACAACTATTCAAAAAAAAAAAAAAATTCTAATCACATTTCTCGGTAATTGTTAATTTATATAGTTGGGATTTTTAATAACTTTCGTTTGTCTTGAGGTGATCACATTACACGGATAAATGTTTTAATAACTTCTACTGTATATGTGTTTCAATTTTATTGTTTTTTTTTTTCATTTCCGTAATTTAATCGACGCGACCACCGGTGCACAGTTTATACGTTTTTCGAACGTAATAACTGTTACAGATATATATAACAGTCCAAAACTTGCAACTCGGTTACTCTAGTTGTACTTTTAGGCCGAAATCTTAAAATCGTAAATGATCACACTACTTACGACGGTATCAATGATGTTTGTTTCAGAATGAAATACAATTGCATGGACGTACCGACTCGCGAAGCGGACCAATCGTCGGACAGCTCGGACGAGGAAGGACCGTGGACTGAGACCAATCGGTACTCGGGAGACGGCAGCGAAATGGACGACAGCGACAGCTGCGACGACAACAGACCAGAGTCTCGATCGGAGCCGTCGCCGTCGATGCAACAGCACGCCGAGACGGGCTACGCAAGCATAGCTTTGAGGAATGAAAACCGGACCAGAAGCTTATCGCCGCACCCATTCAGCGCGCGGCCGAATCAGCCGAACGATGGGATGGTCGATGTGATGTTAAGCTACCTGATGGAGCGCCACAGTTTGATGTCGGATGAGTTTTATGATCCGGAGAACGCGTTCGACCATGAACCAGAGTTCAGACCGATCGACCATCGACCATTGAACTTGGCCGACGCTCTGCTGCAGCCCATCACGGTGATTGTGACAATATTGAGTAGCATCTTACGGGACCGGCGTATGGACGCGGACGGACAGAGCGACGAGGAGGGCGCCCGTCTATGTACGGTCGAAGAGGAACTGGGCGATGGGCAACAGCAAGAGCAGGAGCAGGATCAGGACGTGGTACGCACCGGAGAGCAGATCGTAGAGATGACCGTCCCGTCGTCAACCGGCGGCGACGATGCCGATGCTCGGGAACAGCGCAGCACTAGCAACGATGACAAGGACGAGGGCCGTCCTGAAGCTCGTCGTGATTGAGCGCGCGGGCACATGTTATCGCAGTTATGAGAATAAAAATGCGTTCCGACAGTTAGTAAAAACGTACATGGACTACGTATTAGCGTGTTACTTAGGACCGATGTGAGGCAAAGGTCGACCAAATATTATAATCATTATTCTCCTTTTCTATATCCTTGTAATTTTCAAAGACACGTTCGTTTGATTATTATTTCTAATGCTGTTTGTTAAATAGTATTGTATTTAGCTCTTTGTAGACCGTAGACCGTCGGTACGGTGGAAAAATGATAAATACTGTTCGTTTGAAAATTCCTCTCATCCCGCAGTATAACTATTTCTATCCATTTCATTATGTATATTTTTTTCTTCTATTAAAATCAATTGAAATGTTAAAAATTGACAAATACTATGTAGTTATTAATTCAAACTGATTATAATTAAGTACACATCTGTTCATTTTGTTCAACATTACGAAGAAATGTTTTTTTTTTTTTAATTATCATTATTATATTTATGTTTGATATTATGATACACTATACATTATGTAATAATTATTCATAGGTAAATTAATCAATACTTATCGTGTCAAACAATTTATGAAAATACAATTATATAGAAAATAATGTTTAAATGTATTACAATTATTATTAATATTTAATAAAATAATAAAAATTAAAATTAGTAAGTGGTTAACATTCGTATATAAATATATAAATAAATAGTTTGTACATAGATATATCATAAATAAATAACAAATGATTAGCTTGATATATTATTATTATATTTGTAATATATTACAGGTTTCAAGTTAAATAATTAGAATTATAATTATATTGAATTTTTTTATAAGTATCTAATAATGAATTTTTAATTCGAAACCGGTAGTACATTACAAATATAATAATACTCCAGACTAAGCATTTATTTATTAATTTTTGGTTATTAGTACAATCACTAAACATGTTTTTACCTGCATTTCAGATTACGAAAATTCCAAATTTATGTTTTCAATGAAACGATGATGGACTATTTTACCTTGCAATTTACTTGCCTTTCTTTAAATTTTTAAAACAGAGAATATAGAAAACTCAATCATAACTTTTAAATAGCAATTTAACTCAGTTTACTTTAGCGTAAACAACATTAAAGGGCTTATAAAACATTTTATTTTTAAATATTTATTACTTATTTTAGGCATCTTTAGTCTACTGTATCTTATTATGTTTACTAACTACAAAATTGGTTTTTATATTTTTATATATTTAATTGAATTATTATTTTTTTTGTTTATGGGGTTTTTTGCTTATATAGTACACGTGCCATGGTACACACACCATAACCATAGCGGTTTCTGCTCTCTGGGCGGTCATGCTTTTCAGTATCCACTATTGGTAATTGTGTTAAAAATGGTGACCATGCATTTAGGCATAACTGTCTTATCACATTCGGTCACGAAGCCTTTACAAAAAATATGTAGATCATTATTGTCAGATTTTATGGGTTCATCTGTTGGTCTAATGATTTTTCTTAATTCGAAAACAAATGGTGAAATAATACGTATTGAATATATGATAAAAAATTTAAAAATTTTAATAAAATAATAAATTTTGCTTTAATTCTAACTTAAATTAAAAAAAAAAAAATTAAAAATACCAAATACTTATTCATATTTTCCTTGCACTCAGAAAATCTAAACATAATATTTCTGAATTCTGATTTAGTAATATAATAAAGAAACCTTAATTTGAGATTCACCATCCAGAAGTTTGATTGTGTAAAATTAACAAAAATTTAAAATTAACAAATATAAACATCGTGCGCAGAAAAGGTCTGATATTTGGGATGAATTTAAAACGATTAATAGACAATATTTATACCTGTGTAAACGAGTATTTATCAGGCAAAAAAAAAATCGTGTATTGTATGGCGAGTTATATTTTATTCTATTTTTTTTGATGACCTAATGTTGATCGTAGGTGTATCGATTTGATGAACATCGTTATGTGCATCCTTCTTGACCTCCTTATTATTTATTTTTTTTTTATTCGTTGGAAATTATCGACAGCAAAATCCTCGTTGCCGTCATTTGTTTTTTGGGAATCTCTTGTTCAGTAATAGGTGCTATCGGGTTTTTAGATGCTGAGGCGATGTATTAACAATATTCATAATGATATTAGTTTCATAGTGATATTATCAGTATAGATATATGCCAAAACTCTCGAACACTAAAAACATTTAAATAATATTTACTATCTAGGTAATTCTCGATAAAACTGTTTTTGAATAACGTGAATAAAATTTAAATAAAATACTATGTATGAATTATGCATGTATGCCCTCTTATATTTAGAAACTAATTATAATTACTGTATATATGTTATGATAAGTAACCGTACATATACGCATACGAGTATAAGACATAATATAACATTGAAAAGTGCCCGAGTCGGAATTAAACACAAGATCGAAAAGTATTTGCATGTACCATGGTACTAATCAAATATCCATCTTACCAGTACGATTTAAGTGAGAAGTGAGCATATAAATATGTGGGGAATGGTATACTCCAACAAAAGATAGTGTTAACTCTTACAAAATAATAATATTAAAAAAAAAAAAATAAAGCATTTTTAAAAATATAAATCGTATGAATATCATACAGCATTAAATATAAAAAAAAAAAATAATTTACTTCGGTATAGGGTAAAAAAATTTCATTCAAAATAATTGTTTAAAAAATAAAAAATATTTAATAAAATAATAGTTATATTAATTTAAGTATATTTTTGTGGTGTACTTTAAAGATAAAAAGTGAAATTTCTCCTCGTGTACATTATTATTTTTGTTTACCTATAAATTCATATTTTACCATTGTTTTTGTCTACCTGTTTTATCAAAATCGAAAATAAAAATAAAATCAAAAATCGTGTACTCAAGTAAAAAGGTCTGTGTAAAATATTACATTTACTTTTATTTGCAAGCAAAAAGGTTAATTGTGTAGGAGTTTACAGCCGGCCAATAATATAGTATACAAAAAATACTAACCATGGGCATACACTGATGTTCAAAAATTGCCAAAAATGAAAAATGTAATTAATGTAATTTCAACAAACATAGTAATTGTTTTCTATGGTTAAAAATATTTCATTTGACAGGCCTTTTTGGTGAATATAAACGATACGATTGAAACGTGTCTTGACAGATTTTTTCTCTCGTGGTAAGTTTTATAAGTACATTACATTATCGTATATACTAGAAAACGTAAAAATTATTAATTACAACAAAGTTTAATAGGAAAAGTTTAAAGTGTTAGTTTAGTTTAGTATGAGATTTTTCATATAAATTAGGTTGACTATTTTATAAGTAAAAAGCACCAGCATATTTTTATTTTTGGTACGAGTAGATAAATTATACTTAAAAGCTATTGCTAAAAATGTGATATTTTTTGTTTTTGATCGAACAACTTATTATGTTTAAACATTATATAGCATAATATAATCCATGTCATATATTTTAAATCTATTGGAAATATTTGTAAAAATAAATATGCTTGTGAAAAATTTAATAAATCTGCTAAAACCTAGATTACATTGAGCGATTTTACTAGCGATTAAAGTCGCGCGCGTGTGAGCGTGTAGCGACTTGTCCGATTACATTGAGCGATTAAATTCGCTCGTTCGCTAGTCACGTACACGCATTCATGTGATATACATGTAAAAAAAAGTTGTCATTGATATAGATAACTCATTCGTATTCGTTTATATTATTAATTGTATTATTTATTATTATTTATTTAACTGGGCCCCGTTCATCCTTAGAATATTTTGATAGGCTACAAAGTCTTCGTATTTTAGTTCTTTTAATAATGTATTGGATGCATCATATTTCTCTCGCCTTGAAATCCAACTTCTGATCCATAACCTTTTCTTTTTATACTTTTTCTTTTCCAACTCCTGTCGCAATAAATGAGAAATCACAATAACTCCCGCGCGAACTACAACTTCCGACGTTTTGACCAGTCACTAATCGCTGGCACATTAGCGATTTCACCAGCTAGGGCGATTACATTGAGCGATTTCACTCGTTGGAGTGTAAAAACGTCAGTGACTAGCGACTAAAGTAACCCTGCCGTTAACATTAATCGCGAGTGAATAGCGAGTATTCAACACGCGGCGAGTAAGCGACTAAGCTGATTATATTAAGCGACTTTAGTCGCAGCGAGTTAATTCGCCGATGCCTAGCGTGTAAACTCGCTCAGTGTAATCGAAGCTTAATTATTTGTATAAAAATTTAGATTAAATTATATAAAGAATAATTTTAAATTCTGAACAAATTAAAATTTTTTTCAAACCACTATTATAACACTTTTCCGATCGATTTGAATCTAAAAAACTTTTATTTAATTTTTGATAATATTTTGAATCTTTACCATACAAAATATTAAATAAACCTCTATTGTCAATTTAAAAGTGAACAAATTTAAAATTATTTGAAAAATCATGATCCAATTAATTAAATAACTCTCATAATAAAAATATGTAATTATTAGTAAAAAATAAAAAATACAAGAAATAAATAAGAATGGTTAGGCTTACATTAGGAATAGTTCAATAAAAAAATAATAAAATAATAGTAATACTACGGATTAGATGATAAAAAATGGAAATAATCTCTCTGTTTTTTTAAATTCTTTAATAAATCCGGAATATATTTATTATGTAAGGCACATTTCTTGTTTATTATATTTTAGTTATTATACATATTTTAAACTTTAAATAAGTTATTTAAAAGAGATTCAAAGTACTAACTATTTAAAAAATATTCTACTTAGAAACAATTTAAATTATTGGGGATCAGAGGTGGTCAAAAGAAGCATACTTTATTTTATTTAGACTTAAAAAGCAAACGGAATATAAAATACCAAAAATGTTTCGATTTTAATTATGTCAGAATGTTTGAAATTTTGAAGTTTTTTAGTGGGTAGTGTTTAAAAATGTACATAATAAGAAGTGCTTTTAGCTACAAAAAATATGTTTAAGATAAAGTGTGGCACAAGAAAGACCAGATAGCTTATAGTGAAAATCCAAATAACCCTCGATTTTTAAACATATTTTGATTAATAATTTTGACACGTTCCGGATGTATATGTCTATCTCTACGCGTCGTGATGATCGACAGTGCTCGAAGTGGGGGGAATACGGAGGGATGGCATCCCTTTACTTTTTAGTATTTACAGTTTTCATCCCTCTACTTGTTTTGTCTAGAATAACGCATTCCTCCTAAGACTTGTATTTTAAAATGATATACTTATTATCATTTTTATACTTATATATAAGAAATTATTTTATTTAGGTGAAAATAATTGTTTTTAACATTCAGTCCCG